CAATTAGATCTGGCTAGAAATTATAATATTTTTATTATTCGTTACAACGATATAATCAAGCTTTATTGTAAAACAATTTATGTCAAGTATTATGGTTAAATAAAACATACTTAATATTATATACTTGGAGTATAATTTTCAAAAAATAAGCAAAATAACTTTATGTTCCACGATTCTATCACGTTTTAATTATATTGATCATCATAACATAAAAATAATTTATTAATGTCACACATATTGAATTGTATACAGATTTAGTTTTATGTAAAGTAATCGTCACTTGTCGATTGTTATATATTCCGATCTTGTTTCTCTTAGTGTATTATAAATAGTGATATCTATCCAAAGATTTTTACAATTCTACAAATACAAACTTACAACTATCAATTTATGTGGTGTTTTCATTATAAATACTAATGTAACCTTCGATGTAGAATTCAACAAGTACCTAAATTTCTTAAGATAAGCTATCAGAATTTGTTCTTTTAATTTAATAATTATTTAAATCATCTATATTTAAGAATAGATGACGATGAAAATAACGAAGAAAATCATTCTTTTTTTTTTTTGAGAGAAAGAAATTTAATCGAATTCTTATTGAATGTTAATGGACATAATGAAATTTTTAATTTTTTCAAAAAAATATGAGTGATTTGAAAAAATGTTTCTTTGAAAAAATTAAAAAATTTCATTATTTCCATTAACATTCAATAGGAATTCGGTTAAGTTTGTCTAAAAAAAAAAAATAAAGGAGACACGGTCTTTGGAACTGATTCCGCACCTTCGGGGAAACAATTCCTTAAGTTGCAAATTGCTGCAATGAACATGGATGTAAACTTAACTTCGCTATCGTCCAACAAAGTATTTAACTGAATACGTATTTTTGTTAACTATTGTTGTACTTAATTAAAATAAGGTTGACTATTGCCGTTATGATTTATGTATATTAGGTTATCATGCAACATCAGATATTTACTAGTACGTATAAGCAAACAATAATATATTTCAGTTATTCGATTCCCTACGGTAAAATTGCTACAAATTTATATTTTGAAAATATTGTTAGTTTTAATATCATTCTTCAGAGTTATTTACTTCAGTGTTGCATTATATCACCTACATTAATTTTACTCCTGCATAAGCATTAATATCGAAAGAAATATGAGCCAATACGTAGAAGTCAATGATAAACATTTTTATGATTGAAATACCCCTATTAAAATCGAATATACATTCGAAGATAACTGGGGTCATATATTAGTTAACCCTAAGAAAAAAAGAACCATTATATTTGAAACCAAAACGAGAAATTTTAAAATGAAATTTAGGTTTCAGAGTAAAGACAAAAATAATCGGACTTATGAATAGTGGCAATCATTCTAAATATACCTACGCCTATACACCAATACAACTAGATGGAGAAAGCATTATTCTTTCAAATATCTGTGTTTTTGATTTAATTACATAAATTACTTGAATTGTGCCAATGGTAAAAAACATGATATTCCTACTAATAAAAACAGAGGATTGTTTGAAAAAAGTTGTTGAGTATAAAGTAGTATAAGTATTAAGTATAGTTTTAGAAGATCAAGATTGATTCCATGTGAATGTGAATGCAAAGTCTATGTCATTAGTATTCAAAAATCATACATAAAAAAAAGATTATCGTTCTGTCATTACGCGTATATAATATATTCTATATATTTTTATTTTCAACCGTTGTTACTATTTAATATTGGAAATCACGTTGGTCTAATAGATATGTGATCTTTTGCGTTTCAAAGAAAATATTTTATAAAAAATTAAATAGTTTTACTAAATATATAGTTATTCTAAACAAGACATATAACTATATGTGAATTTGGAAAAAATGTATTTTCGATTTTTATGATCTTTATATCTTAAATTATTTATTAATTAATTGTTATTAATACAACGAGATTGATTATATTTTCGAAACTGTGAAAATGTGTTATAATTAAAATCCCGATAATATACATATGTATAAACGTACTAAATAATATTATGTCATTATTTTGGTTGTTTGCTTTTGCTCATAGTCAACGTATTTTTTACACTTAAATAAATAAATTTACAACAACTAGTAACTAACTTAAAAACAACAGTCACGTATTTTTTTTTTAACAACGTAAAAAGAACTTTTGTACTTTGTAAAAAGTGTGTTATGTACTCGTATCACACAATAATAATGTAATTAGATCTTAAAGATATAATGTAAACAGTACTCAATAGTAAAATTGATAAATAACATTTACAATTTAAGTTAGATAGCTATTCAATACTTTATACTATTTTATAATTTTTATTTTGCATTCATTACATATGCATAAATCATTACTATATCTAAAGTCTAAAATTTTATTAAAATTTTAAAATATGCAATTATAAGCCTTAAAATTTAATAAATATATGTATATCTATTTTTAATTAGATATATGTAAAAAAAGCGTTGGTATTAATCTAAAATAAATTATGTTTTTTTTAAATGTGTACTTAAAATTTAATGCATAATAAACGTGTACAAAGAAAAACATTAGATTTATCATAATTAAATGTACAGTATTTTATGTATTAGAATTTATTACATAGTATAAATTTGATTTTAATTAAGTGATCTCGACAATCTGACACAATGTTTTTGTAAAAAAAAAAATTACTGCCTCTCGTCTACAGAGTTTACTGGTGCGTATTTAAAGTTAACCATGTCATTGTTTTCTGTAACTTCAATAATAGTCATAGTATTCAGTCCATTAAGTCAATCAGTTCCACCCTCTATTTATTTAATATAAATAGAATATTAATAAAAAATTGGCGAGTCCAATTACAATACTAATGTGGGAACAAAATAACAATATACACATACAATATTGATTTAAGTAATTAAATTATTAAGATATAAATTAAAAATAATAATAAAGTTAGTTACATACAAAAATATCAATATTAAAATTATTTACACGTTACATGATTAAAGGAAAGTTTTGACCATATAAGCTGGAACAGTACAAAAAAAGCTATATGGTTAGAAAGCTTTTTGACCAGGAACTGAAAAATTTAATTCTGATAACAGTAATTCTGGACAGTAAATATAGCCTGATATAAGATATCTTGTTTTATTTTTCTAACTTGTAGAGTGTCAAGTTATAAACATAATACTAAAGGTTTATATATTGTGTGAGGAAGACAATGAATATTACATTTATAATTTACAAGTCTAAGAACACGATTTTGAATATTATGTGAGACTAAATTAGATTAAAAGACTAAGGATACCAAATTGTTGAATTATAATCTAAAACTGATCGAACAAAAGCACAGCAGAGTGACTTAAGGGCTAGTTATTATCAACATTATCACAGCTTTGATTAATAAAGCATAGCAATGAGAATACTATATTTTGATTTAATGATCACTGAATGAAAAATAGAAATTATGATATATACCTAGATATTCAACGTGATTAACTCGGTTTAATTCAACACAATTTAAAAAATAGTGGTCTTAAATATACTGAACAATCCTTTATATCCATCACTTTTATCAAATACTTTTTCAAATATCCTATATGTTGGAACTGATGCTGCAATAGCTAATTTATCTGATACGGTGTTTGTAATGGGAACCTAATAAGATAAATTATCTTTTCCTTCTAGAGATATTGGAGTTTTAGATAAAAATGAAAAATTTGATTTAATAAATACTATATTGCCTTCAACTCTACATTCATCCATTACTTTTTAAACTCTACTTTTAGTCAAATAATAATTGAGATCAAATTTTTCGATAATTTATTTAATGGTCTTATATGAGTCTTAGTAACTCACATCCCCCATCGCGCAAAATATATAATTTCGATGATTTATTTTTAAATATTTATATTCTTGTTGAACATTTAAGAAATACTTTTTTATTTATTTTATTTTTTTTTAATCACTGCGAATTCGCTCAGTTATACGATGTAAAAAGAGAGAGGTATGTTTCATGAAACATCTTTGGGAAAAGTATTTGCATAGCTGATCCGAACTTAACCATTTATGGTACGACTTCATAAACTAGTAACAAATAATTATTGTACTCTATTCTTTGAGGCCAAATGAATTTCATAGTTCTATCAAAAAATTGATCTATTGATGTACTATTGGTTATTTCTAAATGTTTGCAATTAAAATGTACGCTCACAATAATATTGGCTATAGTGACCGTTAACATCCGTGGTCTCATCGATTGATACGTACATTTTACGATTAAAAGTAAAGTCTTAGCTTGTATTTGAATTAAAGATTTTTGATAAATAACGTCAACATAATTTTTTTAGTTAAGGTAGTCTTATTATAAATATTTTTAGATGTGTAATTCTATATGGAACTCTTTAAATTTAAAATTATTTACTATGTTGAATGGAATGATTCACTATTAAATTATTAATTTTTGAAGCATTATAACTCATCTATTTTATTTATAAATTAATTATATATTAATATTTTTTCTCTTATTCAACCCTATGAGTAGTTTCGTAGTCGGATCGCGTTGTCTACTCTTCTTTGTTACCAGCTAACTTCTTTAGTTCCATACAGTTTTACAGTCCAGCATTGGAATTTCATTTGCTATGGATTATTATAACTAATCTAATCGATTTTTAACGTACTACTCAATTTCAGTATATTAAAACCAAATAAAAAAGGTAATTTTTTTTCAAAATTATCTATGCGATTTTATTTATTACTTAACTATTATTTTTAAAAATGATTATTATAAAATTTTAACGAAAATGTAGAGGAATAGTTGTAAAAATAGTAGTTATATAATGGAACGAACTATTTTAATGATGTGAGGTGTGAAACCACATTCATACAGAATATTTTTTATGCATTATGAGCTACATGTCGGTCGATTAGTTGAGTTAATATTCTAGAGATCATTACGGTTTAAAAAATAATACAATTACATCTTATTGTTTAATAACGAGATATAACGAGTAGATATATTCGAAATTTGAAGTGCAATATTATTGTGTTTAATTTCATAACAATTACTACATCAGAAAGTGCTGAGCGGCGGTTAGAATATACAATCGAACTCAAATCATCACATAACATTGAAAGAAATCCTAAAGAAGAGCTGCGAGGTAAGAGCGCCGACTTCATAATGTATCTCAACAGATTGGATGATGACAATAGAAACAAAATCCAATTGAAAGAAATGGATGTTCACGGAAAATGCAGCCGATTATGTGCAAGAACAGACAATGCAACACCTGGTAGTCGGGGACATGGTCCGGATAACTACTAGAAAAAACCATAGATGCGGTAAACTTTTATGAGAGGGGAGTTTGTTTGTGACAGGTTCAAAATACACGAACACTATGAAGATAATTATAGTTGCGGTTTACTGATGGGTAATGTTATTCTTGTTGAAAATTATTTCTTGTTTTTTTTCTTAATTTAAATTGTATAGCTAAATAAGTTTATGATTAAATAAGTAAAAATTAATTTTATTAATTGTTAACGTACATAACTATTTTATACAGACTAAAAACTAGAAAGTATTAAACGGTATATAATTTTTGTATATAATTATTTGAGTTAAAAATATCGGGGAGTTTTATATTTTTGAAAATAAATAATATTTTTAGATGACTAATCAATCAATTATTTGAATAATTTGAAAATATTGAGTGATCAAGTAGTTCAACAAGATGTTTTAGTTTTTTTACGGTGGAGAATGATTTTTGAATCACGAACGTTAAAATCAATAGAAATATTAATAAAATACCTATTACAATACATCTACAGTATTAATTACTTAAAATATATGTATATGGGTCTAGTGGGAAATTAACATTGATAAATCTTCGTAAATTTGTTTAGATGTTTAAACATAATTGAATTCTGACAAAATTTCTGACTGACACAAACTAAATTTAGTTCTTTACATTTAATCCGAATAATACTGGATATCCTTATAAAATCGGAAATACCTAAGAGACGTGGACAAATTTGTGAATCCTGTATTACTGAGATAGGGAACGAATTTTGGGGTATAAAAGGTTTTTATTAGTGTCCATTGTATAAAGAGATCTTACACGTTTGTGTTAGGGTTTGTGCAAGGAGAAAAATTCGGGTTTATAAAGCTACAGGGTCATTGTTGAACACTTGCAGTTTTAGAGGTGAAATAATTTTACCGACCAACTTAAAATGAAAACTTGCTGATTTTGCGAAAACTATTATTTGCGAAAAAAGTTTTAACAAAGGCCAAATCCCGTATTGTATGTGCACACGGAAAGTCTTAAAGAAATACATAGAGTACTTCAGAATATTTTTACCGTGAGCGCTCACTTTTCGTTTAATAGAACTTTATTTGTACATACTGTGTAAAGACAGAATCTGTATCGATTAGATCAAAATGCCTATGTATTAATGTTTTGTGCAATGTACGCACTTCACACATAGGATATGTTTACATGTGTACACTGTTGTGTATTTAACATTTCTACGTTAATTTACCCGTTGATAGTACACATATATTTTGGAACACGAATGCTATACTGGAAGCGCCACGCTCGCACATTAATTTTTTAGCATTATTATTTGTTCGATTTACTTGAAAAATTGAATCGTACATCGAAAAATGTGTATTGTTATCCTTGACTAAGAAGTACGATGCACTTTTTATGTTCTATTTATGAAACATCAAATAAAAATTAAAGTCCGCAATCGCATTCCAATAATGTTTTTACATACGACGGCTCTTCGATAATTTCATCTATAGTTACGGCCCCCACCCCTATTTTCTATAGTAGTTTTCGTAGCATACAACAAATACTAATACTCGAGCAATATATCTAATTTAACAAATAATTTAAAAACAGATATACTTTATTTGAATAAATATATTTATACAATGTAAGTATTAATAATAACTCGAATGTCTCTCACGATAGAACAGAAATATTTATAATTTAAGATTTAAATTTGATTTGATGTTTTTTGATTTCAAAACTTATAAAATCAATTCCATTTTTATTATCAGTCGAATACGTTTCAGAAAATATGCAAATTGAGTGTATTTATTTAGAGAGCTATACAATATTAAAAGAAAAGTATAATTACGTTTAACTGCCAATTTTTTTTTCAAACTATACAACAGGGATAAATATCCTTACGAAATAACGATTTGAAAATTATATCTCTTTCAAATTGAGTAAAATTGCATGTAATATAATATCCAGTACAAAATATCATTTTTTGTAAATGATTCAAACAATACCTATATTAAATGCTTATTTCTGCAAATTGTTAGTACAAATAAAAAAATAATAAAATAGTAATAAAACAAGTAAAAATACTATAACTTTTCATCCAGACCATGAGATTTAGATCAAAATATTGTTTGCAGTGTACAATTTTAGTAAAAAGATTTCTGTAATGTATGTGTATTTTATTTGTATTAAAAATAATTATGTAGTTGGAGTTATTTAATTTTTATAATTTAATATGATTTAAAATAGTGTTTTGTTTAGTAATTGAACGTTTTCAAATTCTTTAAGTTTTTAAAAATTTTGCTTATTATTAATAAATAGTAAAATGTTATATTGGTAATACCATGTAATTCAAATTCGCCATACTTACCATAATTTTAAATTCTTTTTATGGTTCGAAAATATCACGATAACGGAAAAAAAAAACGGTCAATCCAAAGTTGGAATCGCGTTTTTTACTTTTATGTTTATTTTAATTGCATTAGCAGTCATGGGAGTGTTTCAGTTGGAATTTGCTTTTTAACCTTCACCGACCATCCTTTACACACACACGTACAGTATTCGAGGAAAATATTTAAATTAAGCTTGGAGCCGAGGAAAAGAAGAAAAAAAAAATGAAAAATAAATAAAGGAAAATTCTAGGTCCCCAAATCGATGAGTTGGTTCGATTTTTTTTTCAATCAGTTCAATCATGACGGAAAAAATTGTTCGTTCAACCAAAACGAAAACACCGAATCCCTTTTTGCTTTTTATGAATAATCTTAAAAAACCTTCATTTCATTTAAAATAATATAAGGTGCTATGCAATTCATTTAAACGTTTATTTTTATTTTTATATTAATATGGCACAGTGCACAATTGGGAAAAATACTTCCAATGTTTTTCCACAAATACGCCATTTGTAATCAGACGGAAATCTTTTTGAGGCACGGTTATAATTTTAAAATGGAATTTTTATAATAATAATTCTTATAAATTAATTCCAATGGTTTTAGTGGAAGGATAAAATGTTTTTTTTTTTAATTTCTACATTATTTAATCGGTATTCAATTTAAGAAATGTTTAAATATTGTGTTTATATTATTTTGATATTCAGATGAACAACATTAGCTTATATTTTGAAACAGATACAAGTGTAGTAAAGTTTATTGTTTTTTTTTCTTTGTTAAAAAATAACCGACCTGTTATATTTTGATCGCTCATAACCTCAGTTTTATACATGTTCAAATAATACAAAAAGATATATATCTATTACAAACGGATTCTTTTCAATTTAACCACGTGGTACAATATAATTTCATTATCATTAGGCTACAATTTTTATTAAAATTAATATTTAAAAAAATCGAATAGTGTTATTTTTTTTTTGGTTTAAATTATTATAAAAAAATATGTACTTTATCGATATTTATTTGTTGAGAATAATCAAATGGCAATAGGAATTAAGATAAATATCTAGACGTTTTAATTAAGTACTATCCTTGTCGAATAAATTAACGGTATATATGTTTGTGTATTTTGACTTTTTTTCCCATTTTTTTTTTGCAGCTTCTATTTTTTTTCTGTTCAAGGGATGGTCGTGAACCTCCGTACATAATCACCTTTTAAATTATGCTGGAATGAAAACCTCGGAAATCCCAGGCATTTTGAGTTTGTCACGTAGAACGTCATATATAATCAAAATGTTTACAAAAATGCTGATCTTCGTTCCCGCGAGCACCCAGGTTTAAATGCAGGATTATAGTTTGCGATATAGGGGGTTGAAAAGTTTTTATTTTTAGAAAGAACGATGGGCATGCTCGTTCCATAAGCAATAGCAACGTTTGAAAAAAAAAGTTTATTTTATTTTTTTTGTTTAGAAAAAAGATTGGACTTTGGAATTGTTTCTGTGAGATTTTGCGGTTTTTACACCTGTATAATAATTTTGTTAAATGTAGGGAAACGTAATAAGCTTAAATAAATAAGTTATAATAATTTTTTTATTATTGCTTTAATTAATATAATATGATGTACTATAGAAAATTTTTATCAAGTTTGTTGAAATTAAAGCCTATCCGATCATAAGGATCAATATTATGTAGCATTCATTTTAATTTGTGAGCCTTTTAGTTCTATATAAAGTGCGTACAGTTTATTTTCAATTGTTTCTCATTATACTCAAATCAACCATCACTCGAACAGTTATATTTCAAAACATTCGTGAGGACGAACGATCAACACCCTTATTGTAGTTGAATGATGTTTTATTAGGGTAGAAAAATAAATCACTCGACTTGTACCGCATGCACGTCGCCACTGGCCTCGAATGACGGACGGACAGCTAAAAATGTACCTCAATTTAAATTATACTTATGTTCACAGATGCATATAATATATGTAATATATAATATAATGCACACACATACACACACATATATATACATACATATAATCGACTGTCCACGTGTCAAACACGCGATTAGATTCGTCGCACTCGCACTACGGTGTACGTAAAGAGGGTTTGGAAAATTGGGGTTGAAGTGTGTTGTACAGGATTAAGCGCGGGTCTCAGATGAGTTTGAAATATCACGACGGTGTGAATTACATCCATTTCGGTCGGCGCATCGCGTGTTTCTTCGCGCAGGCATGTATACAGGTTTGGGGTTTACCCCCCTCCCTCCGAAATAATTTCTTTAAAAATTAAGTCAAATTATACACCTATTATTATAAAATATTTTTATTACTTGCTGTTAAATGTTTCCTTTGTTTATTAGTCGGGTATGAAATACAAGTTTATATATTGTATTATCGATGAATGATTGAGGTGATTACTGAGAAATACGCACATGTGAGAACCGTATCATTGCGTTATATATAATATATCTGGTAAACTCACATTTTGTCAATAATCTTATCATATTTTCCGTACTCGATTGGTCACCAAAAATTCCTATTCAAATGCTTATCTATGATAAACAATCGTTCAGTTTTAGTTTGTGTTCGGTATTTGAACGGTTATAAACTGTGAGTAAAATAGTGTGATGGTTATTTT